CCGCTTTCAGACCTCTGGTACACTTTAATGTAAGCTGGCATCACAGCATTTGTGTTTGCTTGGAGAAGTACTTGCCTTGATGACCTCCTTCCTGGTGAGTTCGTAGTGCCCTTGTCAAATGTGAGTCCACACCTAAATCCCCAAAGGTCATTCATGAACCAGAATCTTAGTTCTTTGGATCATGTCACAGATTGAAAACTTAAGTATTTGTATCAGCACTGATGTTCATTCAGCTGGCACAAACGTGCTGCCTTCCGGGAAGATACCCGTTTAAGATCTTCAGTACTCAGCAAGGCAAAAGAAAGAGGGACTGCAAGCAAAGATTCTTTCATTTGTAGTAGGAGTTTAAGGTCCGAGATTTTACCTGGAACATTCAGAAATGAAATTATTTACAACACTCCTAATTTTTTCTCAGTAAGTGCTTTGGTGTCACTTGTGAGAGCTCACGTGATGCTGCAGACATTCCAGTGTGGTCATTTGCTCATGAAACATTAATGACTGCTGTTATTTAAATAAGTTTAGTGATTATATATGTAGAATTTCATCTGGTTGAGCAAATTGCTCAGATGAATTTTGCTTATGTAGATGTGGGAAAAGTTTCATGAGCTTCAAAGCCAGATGAAAAGGAGTAAAATGTCTTCTTTGCCTGTTTTAGTGGGGTCAGTTGAGACATCCTTGTATCAGAGGAATGATTTGAAAGACAAAGATACAGGCTTTTGTTCCCTGGCAGAAGTGCGAATATACTGGATGTATGAGTGGCTCAGTTCAGCTGCAGTGAGGACTGCCAAGAGTGTAATTCTGTCTGGGATGTTTAATGCACAGATACAGCATTGCAACAAATCATATTTTCCATGTTTTGAGGGAAATTAATATTAAATATTTTCCCTCTTTTGCAAGCCTCAGTCAGCAAAAATCAAAATACTTGCTCCAGTTCACTAAGTGGTGAGCTGGGCACTTGTTTTTGTTAAAGTTTTATTGCTGTAGTTGCCTCCAGCCCATCATTTTGTGGACTGTTTAGATGAAGGCTAGCTTTTTTAAATCATCGCTCTTTTAAGAATAAGCCAGACAATGACACACTTGAATATTAAGACCAGGATTGCCTGTGCATTTAGTAGGTGCAGATCAGATTGGCTTGTGTGATCGCATTTGACAATCACAGGTAGAACCACTCCCCAGTACATGGCTAGAAGGAACCAGAATATAATGTGGGTCTTTTATCTGACCTGGCAAGTATGGACATTGCCATCAAGTGACCAGACATAACTGTAAATCACTAATGCCAACACATTAATAATGTAGTGCAGCAAAGGGATGTGGTGCCATCAGAAAAGGTAGCATCAGAAACAGCTCTTCCAGAGCAATATGTCTTCCGTCCTGTTTCTTTTGCACATCCAAGGTCTGACTGAGAAAAAAAGAGTTTGAAGGATCAGGCTGGAGTCTGAATGAGTTTTTCATCTTGTCTGTGTTTATATTAATGTCTGCAGAATGAACAATCACTGAATTTTAGTAATGGTGTCATGAGCCTGTTGAGATGCTGTCATTGCCTAGAAGCAAGTCAGTTTTTCTTGCCTTACCTGATATTTTCTGGCTTTAGCATTAGAATTAGTATTAGAATTTTGCATTAGAATTAGTATAAGCCAGCGACAATATTAACAAAAACCTTTCCTGCATGGCTTCTTTGCTGGCCATGCATTATCGGTCCTTTAGCCTTTTTGAATAGATCTGATGCAGACCACAGAAAAAAACTACAGAACAGAGATAGTTGCAGTAGCTGGCTGGTTTCCTGTAGGGTGAATGAGATGAGAGGCACTCATGAGAGTTCAGCACCTCCAAGGTGCTCAGGGCAAGCATCTCTTGAGAAGCAGTCACACAGTGTTCTTACCGGAGGGCAGAAAATGGAAAAGTTCATTGCACAGGTCTGGTCACAAAACAGGGAGTATGATTTCCCCTCTATTTACCAAAGCAGTGCCTGAGAACAGGCACAGATCGCATTGTTGTGTTAAAGAGTGAGAGAAATTCACATCTGAAGATAAAACGGTCCTCTTATTTATACAATCATCGCAGCTTATGTAACAGCACTCTTAATGGTAAAGTACAGCTGGAGCCTGGAACGTGTTGTTTACAGAAATACTATGTAATAGGTAGCAATGTAAAATGTAGTAAATGGTGCCGAAGGCAAGCAGCATAGAGAGAGATCAGAGCCTGGGAACTGGGAACATGCGCTAGTGAAGAAACAACTTGGTTGCCTCTCTGAAAGCAGGAAGTGTGGACAGTGTTTTTGAAAAGAAAGAGGAATGGGCTTTGGGCAGGATCAAAGGACTGGCCTTCCTAGAGGAAGAAGTCCCATGAAAAGCTAGTTGACAAAGTACAGACGGTGACCACAAGGGAGATTTCAAGAACTGACGAGGATAAAGGGGACTGTGGCTATAAAGCTTTCATGTGACAAGGAAGAACAGGAGGTAGAGAAGGCAGAAATGATGAAGCTCCAGAACTGGTTTTATCACTAAGACTTGTATGGTTGTATTTTCATGCAGAGAAATGCTGCTTAGTAACCTTGCTCTTCTCTTTCTTGAAATGCTAACCAGTGACTAATACACTTGTGCAAAACCACCCCACTCCACAAACACACACGTGCCTGGTGACAGGACGAGGAGGAATGGGCTAAAGTTGCGCCAGGGGAGTTTTAGGTTGGATGTTAGGAAGAACTTCTTTACCGAAAGGGTTGTGAGGCATTGGAACAGGCTGCCCAGGGAAGTGGTGGAGTCACCATCCCTGGAGGTCTTTAAAAGACATTTAGATGTAGAGCTTAGTGATGTGGTTTAGTGGAGGACTTGTTAGTGTTAGGTCAGAGGTTGGACTCGATGATCTTGAGGTCTCTTCCAACCTAGAAATTCTGTGTGTGTGTGTGTGTGTGTGTGTGTGAAAATTAGGAAAATTGCCTGCTTTTCTTCAGAGATATACAAGGCTTGACAAAATGAGCTCTGACTCGAAAATGTTAACTGAACTCAAGGTACATGGCAGTCAGTCAATGGCACCTGCACTCCAGCATGTTCATTTTCATTTATTTCCTTTAGACAATTCATAATTTTGTATGTTACTAGTGAAAAACAGAACTATTGATTTTCTTTGTCATGTTTTTATAATCCTTTGAACCATTTTATTCAATTCTGAGTGTAAAAAATAGACTTACCATGACACGTACTTACACATCACATGAATGATGAAACAAAGTTGTAAATATACATTGCTTACTGGAATCACTTCTTTTCAAAAACATATCTATATACTCAAAGTATTTGTAATTCCCCATTAGTAGTATTTATGCTGCCACATCAAAATTCCTCATTTGTAGCCAACCAAGTATCTTAGGCTTAGATCTTCCTCCTACATGTAATGGAATCATAATGCTGTCAGAGACGTCACAGCCATCTTTGTAGAATATGATGTTAAGGAAGACTGAGTTCATTGTACTATACATATGTAAATGCCTCCCTTTTAGTAGTCTCAGGGGAAAGAAGATGCCAGAAAGAATTCTCAACCAGCGTAAGTATTGTCACCACCTTTCATGGGATAGTAAAACACATTCATACGAGGAAACACATTAAGAATCAAGGAGGCTGCACTGGGAAAGTGAGGACATTTGAGTGAGACTTAAGGAAGTCACATGGTAAATTATAATAATCTAACTGCAGTCTAGAAAATCACCTTCTTTACTTGTTTGTATCCATAATGATGTGACTCCTGTCTTCAGACAGTCACGACAAATTTAGCACTGTAGCCCTACAATGACACCTGAGTTCAGGATAGCAATTTGTACAATTTAAAACAGGGAATGTTTTGTTTTTGTGAAGCTCAAAGTCTTTTCTGTTTTGGGAGCACAGGGAACTATTTATTGCAGAGCACAGTGAACTGATCTGTTGAGCATGTATATTTATGAATGTGTTTGTAGGTGTAAAGTCATTCTTAGCTTCTCAAGCCTGGCTGGAGAAATTTACAGTATGACTAAATGATCGGACTGAAAGTTCTGCATATAAATTATCTGAACAGAAACATAGCTCACATGGATGCTTCTGTACAAATAAACCACACTGGAAACAACTTTATCGGTTTGAGGTAGATGGACTCTTGTTTACTGGCATCCACCCAGATCAGAAAAATTAGAATGATGCAAAAAATTGAATTTCCCTGAATCAAAACAGGTAATACACCAAATTCTCATACATAGAATGACTTGAAGGTTACTGTTCCCAGTTTCACCATCTTTCACTTGGGGACTTTATTTGAGTTCTATCTGCAGCCCAGGCACAGCTGTTCACAAGAAATGAAATGCTGTTGCTGGTATAATTCCTCACAGTGCAGGCTTTGGTGAGTCCATGCTGCTTCTCTCCTCTGTTTCAGGTGCTAAATGAATTGGTATTACCTCAATGTAAGCATTGAAAGTGTAGTTAATACTGCTACACTATGTATTTAAAAACATTTTTTGAAATCAAATTGAACGTCAGTAAAATATTCTCCTCTGGTTCAGGGCTCCAATAACCAGTACAATGACTTAATTGGCATTCTTACGCAGTACTTGGATCTTTGCCAGTTAATGACCCATTGCTGCAGTCTGCACAGGCAAATTACCCCTTCTGTCTGGCTCTTGAAACTGATGGACTTTTGCCCAAGTAATGGCTGCAGGCTCCTATTCTCAGCTGGCATGGACCCCAGCATGACCATAAACATCCCTGAGAGGGTCATAATATGATATATTGGACAGATTTTGATATGCCTCACAGTAATATACTGACGAACAATTCTGCTGAATCAGTGACTTTGGCAGTGGCATAGCAGAAATAAGACACACTGTTGCTTTCTCAAGTAATGAAGCAATTGTAGGCTATTAGTTAGTCTGTGTCCCTTTAGATGGAATAATTTTTTGTGAACCCTTTGTCAAACATCCAAAGTAGTTCTTATATTTGTTCTGTTTTTAAATGGCTGCACTGTCTCTTCCCCTACAGGATTTTCCATTCTCCAGGCAATTATGGAAGCAGCAGTTCAGAACAACTGGCAAGTGACAGCCAGATCTGTAGGAAGCATAAAGGATGTTCAAGAATTCAGAAGAATTATAGAGGAGATGGACAGGCGACAAGAAAAAAGATACTTAATTGACTGTGAAGTAGACAGAATAAACACCATTTTGGAACAGGTACATTTTTAAGTTTTTCAGGCATTGTGGTCTCTATATAACAGATTTCCTTTGTGTTTCAAGAAGCATCTATTTCTAGAAATTAATTGAATGTTCATTGAGATTTGAGTTCCAGTGCTTGGCCAGTTACCTAGTAAAATTAAAATTCTTCACCGATGCTCATAGCTGGTTGCAGCACTTACATGTAACCTACAAGGAAATGTCTCTGTGATATTTTTTGCAAAATGTTAATAATGAATTATTTTTAAGTAGGTTAAGATCCTAAAACCTCAGCTGACAGAGCAACATTACTGGCAGCAGGGATTGCAAGACAGGTGTGGTTTGTTAAGTGGAACGTGAGACAGGAAATAAAAAGCCAGTGAAGTAGTTCGAATCATGTTGAAGAATTCTCAGATGGAAATATTGCTAATGAAAAATTCAGCTGGTAGTACAAACTGTTTATTGGCACTCTGGGGGACATTAATCCCTTCCGTTTTCACTGGTATTACTGTTGACAGGCTTAAATTGTGGGTGATGCAGTTCAAACACCTTTACTGGGGAGGACTGAGTTTGGGGTGACTGGTTTGCTATTGCACAGCCTTCTAAGTGTTTGATTTGCCTCAGAGGAATGGCCATACCCCAACCATGACAGGGTGCCCCCAACATGCCTGCATCACTGTCTGTGCTGTGCAGTGTGCTGGAAGAGATCGTATCATAACAGAGATACAGACACATCCCAGGGAGCAGAAGCAGGACAGGTCCCTGCCGCCTGGCTTGAAGCAAAGGTGGGGTTGGTACAGAACCAAGTCCATGCGGATTGTTTATTCATTAGCATGCGGGGATTTGCTCATATTAAGACTGAAAGGCTCTCTGATTATTGCCACTTCATAAATTTAGTTGTGGGTTTAAGGTATACGTGTAGAGCAGATCAAAAGTAGCAGTTAAATTTCATAAAGCTTTAGCATGTCTTTTAGAAATGCTGTATGGTAAACTAGTAGCAACTGACCTCGCTGCCATAAACAAAGCCTAGAAAATGGAAAAGATTTATTTATTCACTGAGTTTTTTCTCAAGGTATTCAGTTCCAATCAAGCCTTAAGGTGTATCACTGATGTGCATCTTTTGAAATTAGTTTTCATGAAATCTTTGTCCTAAATTGTCTCAAATATTTCTGAAAGATCTTAAAATTTTCTTGCAGTTGGATTTTATGACTCAACCAGTTTTAGCCAAGCAATTAAATATAATCAGTCCATTGCTTTTCAACCAAATCCATAAGACATTTTCACACACAAACTCTATGTCATGTATGTTGCCTTACAATTGTAATAGGATTATTTCTACTTAATTTAATTGAAGGTACCTCATGAACACAATTGTTTGAATTTGCAGTACCAAAAATGGATTTACAACTTTTTCTTTAGGAAACAAACTAGGTAGTAAAGCAAATCAAACATAGCATCTGAGATAAATACTCTAGTAGTAATCCTGTCTTGTTAGCAGTCATACAAGAGGATTCCAGTTATGCAGCACTTTCATTGGAGTATTTTCCCATTTATTTCACTGGGACCATTCACTTCAAAGAATTGTCCAAGCAGATCCCAAGCTGATGCTTCTTATGCTAAAAATACCTTCTGGCAACAGTTTCCAGAGATATTTTTATTAATCTGGGACCCTAGAGCACTGACATGAGTTTCTGCAGGGAAAGTCAGTGCTAGTGTACCCCAGGCTGATAGCTGAACAATTATTGGTTTTAGGCTTTTCCTTCTCCCTCGCCTCTGCTTACCTTGTTATCTTCTCATAAGGTAGCTAAAAGAATTCACAAGCGTGTGCAGTACTTAAATCCAGCCAGCTAGTTTGCTCAAGGGAGTGGTGAGTTGTCTTCTTTATAGCCAACTGTGTTTGCTGATAGCATACCATCGAGGGGAAAGATAACACTGGATTTGCATATTTCAAATCTCGTGCTTCATGGCAGTTTAGAAAGTCAAATCAGTGCTTTGTATGGAGTCTAGAAAGTCTGCTCAGCTAAGAGGCAGTACCATCTGCACACGTTAACAGCATGCTGACTGCACAGCTGCAGGTAGCCTTAAAGCTTTCTACCAGTGAGGGCAAGGGGAAGCCAGGCCTCCCTGCCTGTGATGGCAAAGCATGGGAGGACAAATTCTTCCCACTGAGCTGGCATAAGTTTAACCATTTCTTTCCATCAGGGACAACAGCAGCACTTGTCAGAGAACCTGGACTTGAGAAGCATAAACAGGACTTACTAAAGAGCAAAAGTAACAGCAGAAATAAACAGTCTGGAAGGCACTAAACAGTCTGCACGCATGCTGAGCTCACTATTAGACTTTCGGGCTCCTGGCCAGGCCATTCAGCGAGCTCGTCAGTTCTCTGCTCCAGAAACTACATATCATGGCTTCATGTTAGTGCTCAGATTAAATAAGAATGACCTCTTCTTCTGTGTTAGGCTGGTCAGTTTGTACAGTTCTCTTCCTTTGATGCTTTCTTCAACCAGCTCAAACTAGGGTGCACGTCTCTTCCAAAGGTGTAAGTTTATCTGTTTCTTTTTTTTCCCTATAGTTCTATAACCATGTGGATCCATATCCCTCCTTGCACAACAAAACTATATTCAATTTAATCATCTAGTGGCCTCTCAAGCATACAGATAGCAACATGCAAAATTCATAAGCTCCTCACACTTCTTGTCCCTTGATGCTAAAATATTCCAGTATTCCTTCACAGATAGATATAAAATTTTGTCCTCATAAACAGAACATTTTCTTCTGAGAACTAACAGTAAGCTTTAGCTTGTTCAACCATGTATTTAGAGACATGTTTTTGAGTTAAGAAATGGGTTTTTCTTATTCCCAAGATAACAAACTGTATTTCAGACTAGAGTGGCTTTGTATCCATTTAGAAGTAAAACTCCTGAGGGAAAATAAGGAGGAAGAAACTCCTTTCAGGATCAAAATGGTGAAACTTTACAAAAGACCTGATTATTCCAGAGACTACATGCTTTTATCAAAATGACACTATCTCTAAACATAGTCATATAGGCTAGACTCCAAGGCAATCTCTACTGAGTGGAGGCATCTCACAAAGCAGAAGTAATATTGTAGTAGAGAATGCAGTCCCCAAAATTTTACAATGACAGGCAAACCGCTGAAGGAGACTTGAAGTAAAACATCCATAAGATTAAGGGTAATCTGATTGACTGAACTCTGTCCAGTGCAAGTACTGACTATGGCTTGACCTTTGAGTCTGAGATTTCGAGATTAAGATGCTGTTCAGGTTTTCAGTGCAGCCACTGCTGCATCCGTCTGCAGAGTGGTTCAGATCTCAGACGAGTTGGTTCCCTGCACAAGAGCTTTCCCATTTGGGGTGTAAATACAAAACAGCAGCGTTTCGTTGCACCAACAGACGTAAAAAACAGCAACGATAACTGCCTATAAACACAGTGGGACACTTGAAGGAGAGAATATCCAATATGTACAATGTTGTGTAATGTCACTCAGAAAGTGGTACAGTTCATTTTTATGTTTCCAGTGAACTAGAAACTTAAAATTTAGGGCATTTCTTCATTAGGTGCCCATGAGTATTGTTGAAACCAGGATCTAAAGCAGAATGACAGGTCACTTCTTTCCCCTCACATCTTCAGGTTTGTATGGGCATGTGGGGAGGAAAGGGGAATTACTTGAGTCAGTTACCCTCAGGACTGAAGCTCGCAAAAGGTAAGTAAAAAATGGGCATATGTCAAAACTGACAGCTGTATCTGCCTGAAGGGCCTACTGCTATCAGCTATAAAACTAATAAAGAGCCAGAGATGCATTGCTAAAGCAGGGAGAAGCAACATCTTGGGTTAATCTGCCCCACGTATAGCACATTTCACGTGTAGCTGGGGATAGAATTTCTAGCTTGTAAATAGTAATACCTCTCCCAAGCTGTCATCAAGGCTTCATAATGCAAGGCAGATTCCAAATGACAGGAATTTAACAGTTTGAGTATTAGTCATCCCACAGAATGACTGAGGTAATGGCACACACATTTTAAAAATGTTCAAGATGCATTAAAGCACAATTTTAAATGTAGTTGATCAGTAATAATAATAATTAATATGAAATGTCCCACCATAAATGCACACACCGCAGCATGCGGAAGACTGATGCTAAGCAAATCTGGTTTCTTATGCCAGAGGCGTATGAACCTGAAGTCACCATTAGAGTTTTTAATTTTCTGCAATAGTAGCAATTACTCATTTTATGTTTTATGATAATTCATGGGATATAAACACACACACCAATGCACACAAATGCATCTGCTTTTGATATTTTACGTATTTTTATCACCACATTTGCAGTATGCCTTTATGAAGTTAGAGGCATATTTATAAGGCAACCTCTGCATTACCTTTAAATGTACAGTGATCCACAATATTTTCTCAGTTACACAGCTGCAAGTATAGAGCCAAACATTATCCCGGAGATAATGTTTAAATTGGTACCATTGCACTCAGAGATAGACTGTCTTTGCTTTGAATTTCAGATAATAGGTAACTAAAAGCACATTTTGCTGCAGAGTTTGCCTTCCTCTGCAGCTTTTCAGCACACAGAATTTGTGCATTTCTGTTTGCCTTCACAAAGCCCTCAGAGGGTCCCACTCATTATTTAGCCTGTGTCCACATCATAGGAGCTGCTTCTGAGCTTGGCACTAATTGTTACCCTTGCTGACAGTCTCAGCAGAAAAGCCAAGCCTGAGGGCCCTTTGGAGATAGCCTCTCACTCCCAAGTTTGATGTACTCTGGAAGGAAATGTATGCATTGATGCTTCCCATGCGATACCTGGACTGTGGGGACAGGAGTTGGTTTTTCACTACTTCCACAGATACTTTCCAAAAAACAACATTCACAAGAAATCTTTGGAAAATGCAGAATATTTGTGGGGAAAGGGAGAGCTTGCTAGAACTTGCTTGACATGTGATCTCATTTTTTTGTTGCACTGTATTTAAGCATCTTGCCATCCCTAGCAGCTCT